AGCATTCATTAAATACTGGTGTTTTTGTTGCTCTTGTCTCATCTGCATTTCACGTTCTTGTTCCTGAAAACAAAGACAGATTTTTAAGAAAGACATTTTATAATAACTTAAAAGAAAAAAAAATGTTTTAAATTTGTTCAGACCTAATAGACATTTGGCAATATATACCTGAACTCTTTGCAAGGCCAGTTGTCGTTGATACTGTAAATATTCATGTTTCTTCTTCCTCATGGCTTGTAGTTTGGCTGCCATCTGCATTTGGCGCTGTCGCTCGGCGGCCTCAGCGGCGGCGGCCAGCCGCGCCGTGTGTTCAGCGCGCAGAGTGTCCAGCGCCGCGCGACTATCGCGGATCTGAGTCACTTTGTCCTAACAAACCGAACCAGAATGTTATCCCAATTCTCAAGTAGCACCATACATCTATATCGTTCGTTCATATTAAATGCTTACCTGCAAACTCTCTAGGTAAACACGCTTATCGTCCTGTTGCTGAATGTAGCGCAACAGACGTGAATGCATTGCAGTGATGTTCATGAATAGAGTTTGTACAGCGGTATCATTGGCGATGGAACGTCCACTGTGAAAGAAATAATGTTTATTATCCACCATCAAACGTAATGTTCTTATAAAACCGTGACCAAAAAGAACAGGAGTTAATACTGTACCGTGACGAGTTGCTCTTCATCCTGTTAACGAATATTTCGACTTGAGATTTCAGTGATTCAACGAATTCATCGATTTCTTTGTCCTCAGCGTCCTCATCTTGAGCCTTAGCCGTAGAAGGTTTTGGAAATTCCTACAGAAAATAAGTAATTTTAATTATATTCTTAGGAAAATTACTGAAGTAGGTTATCTATACTTAATATTATAAAGTTGTAGAGTTTTTTTTAAACGCGCTGATCTTCGAAACTTCTGCTTAGAATTGAACAATTATTTTTGTGTTTGTAAGTGTACTTATCGAGGAAGGCTATAGGCTACGCTGATGTTTTAACATCAGGCTACGATATGAAGGAGCCGAATATAGACTTAAAAACCATCTTTAAATACCTCTGTCGTATCGGAGGCATGTGAAGCTGGCGCAGGTGCAGTGGGAGCCACGGTATTGTCCCGATTGATGCGCTGCTCCCAGTAGTTGCGGTCTAAGTAGCGCGACAGCTCGGAGTTGGCTTGCGTACTATGCTCCGGAGATGCACTCACGGACGATGGAGTCGGGGACACTAGAAATGTATTTCAATATTATTATAGCAAAAGTGGAACTTGCGCACGACCCTTTGCCTAGTCCATCAGGAAAGCAAAACTACTATGGTATTTCTAGACAATATAAGGGTTTGAAATTAATTGAACACTAACCTAATTAACAAATTGTTACAATGTCATCGTAAGACGTGCTTAGACAGTTGAACAGTGCAAATCTGGCTGTATCCGATACTACAGAGGCAAAGAAACCGGGTGAAACAATGCTCGCGTTGTTTTACCGTCTGAGGATCCCAATCATTACTCAAATCGCTAACAACCCACAAAAGGCCGGCAACGCATTTAAACTAACTCCTCCTTTAGTAATGTCCATGGGTGACGCCGATTGCTTACCATCAAGCGACACGTGTGCTTTTGCCAAAGTATACAACAAAAAAACACATTGTTAATGTTGTATCAATCGTAATTATTGTTTTCTTAGTATACTTACAAGTCGGGTGATGAGACGTGGGTTCTGGTGCGATGTGAGAGCGCGACTTGCGTTCTTTCTCCTTATGTTCAGCCTCCGACTGGCTGAGTGCAAGAGCCAACTGCAATTCTTCTTCTTCTTGCAACTCCTCTGCTGTCTTGCCACCAGTTCGTTTCTGATATGTACAAAGAGTATTTATTTGAATATTTTTATTTGGTTCCTTACTCGAGTAGTCATAAGTGTGACTGCCGAGCAGTATTAAGTTCGATTCCTAGACAGGGTACAGTATTAATGCTTTCTTGAAATTTTCTCGTGGTAGTACGAAGCTTAGGACTATGTCTGATACAAAAATATGCGTGTAAATTGTTCACGGGTATTAAGAACCCATAATGTGCAATTGTGCACCTTTGCTTCCTACTTACATATTAATAAGTCATGACGGTATATTATTTGAAGCACAGCATAGTTATTGCAAGAATTATAACTACGTACTTACTTATTGCAATAGTGTAAAAATATGTTTTCCAGCAATGTAAATTTATATAATACTTATGGAATTCTGCCTGTGAATGTGTGTCATAAATAGATTCCATGTAGTAGAAGGTAAGAATTTCTAAATTTTCACATGTGTGTAACTTATGCTGAGTAAAACTTTAGTTGGTGTCCAATTACTTAGGGAACAAAAATTGTTTCTCAGATTAGAAATTAAATTATTTCTTAGTTAAACCCTGCGAAGCTCAGCTTTTTTACTATTACGAGATCACCGAAATAGTAATAACAAAAAAGTCTATCGAGTAACAACTTTGCCAGGAACAGTTTATGAAAAAATTGGTTTCTGAATCACAGTTGTCACACATGGACAAAAAATATCAAGTACGTACATGTAGGCATGACGTATTTAATTGAACTCAATTGGTGTTATCTTGTGGAATGAATTGAGGTTAGACTGAGACAAAGAAAACAATATTAAGAATTAAAGATAACTTTATTATACAGAAAATCGTACATTTATTACCAAATATCATCTAAGAAAACATCAATTTAAATAAAATCTAAGCCCTAAAGAGAAAATAAGAAATATCTTAAATATCATGTCAATAAAAATTACAATGTCAGTACAGTTATGATATAAAAGATCCTAAACATGATAGTTGAGTTGTAAGGAATGACTTAACAACATTTAAATGTATATAATTCAAATAGAACAGATCAGGTAATGTTAGTGTTGTTTGAGACGCCTCACAAACTTGGGCGTCTCTGGTACAGTGAGTGGAGCAACAGATTTTTCTGGAACAAATGGTACGATCCCTGTTTTAGGAACTGGTTTTGGATGATGAATTAATTTAGCCCTTAACTCCGCCCTTGCTCTCTCCTCAGCTTCTTGTTGCTCTTTCTCCTTCATTTGTCTCATTCTTTCTTGTTCTTCCTCCTTTTCCTTTAATTGTTTCTCAAATTTTTCTCTTTCAGCAGCCCGCTTCTCAGTAGTGAGCTCAAATGGAGCAGGTTTTTTTAGTTGTACTGGTTGAAGAACAGGTTTGAATGGTTCTTTATACAATACAACAGGTAACTTGGCTTCAAACTTAACATTATTCTCTTTGTTTTCCGAAGAAGTGGTGGATGAGCTGCCCTTGGGTGCAGCACAATGCATCCGCTTTTTAACAGCTCCAGGTACTGGCTGTGCTTTGAATAAAGTAGCTTGTTTTCTTTCTTCCTCAATTTGCTGTTTGATTCTCTCTTCCCTGCGACGCTTAAGTTCTTCATCTCTTTTTTCAAATGAAAATGGCTCAGGTCTGACTGGACCTGTTCTGGGATGATGCTTTTCTTCACATTTTGGTTGAGATTTCATTAGAAGCATGTTATCATTTTTTAATGTGTCAGCAGAATTTGCTCTTTTGTAGCGGAATTTAGGACTTACAGGCTTGGTCACATGTACGGGAGGTTTCACTGGTACATGAGGTTTCTCTAATATGTGTTTAGGAGCTGGTCGAGCCTTGAACTGTGGTATATCATCAGTGGATTGGGCAGTCTTCTTTTGAATTTCAGTCAACTTGAAAGGCTCTGGCACTGTGATAGGTTTCTTTGAAACTTCAGGAAGATTTTTGGTCCCTTCTATAACAGACTTGGGAATAGGATTCGCCTTTATTTTGTGTTTCCTGATTTCTTCAAGTTCCATTTCTTCTCTTTCTTTCTGTGACATAATATGTATCGGTCTTGAGCGTGTTTTAGATCGGAGCATGGGTGACTGAGGCACAGTAAGGCCTGATGGTCCAGTTTGTCTTTGAGAACGGAATATTTGCGGACGTTTCGAATGAAAACGACCAGGAGTATCCCTTTGATAGTGATAAATGGCCTCAGCCATCGATACAAATTTAGTTCTTGACAACTCTTGTGGCGCACCTGACGGTTTACGATGTCTGTGATACACATCTTCTTTATCATGGAACTCCAATTTCACAAGATCTTCTCGAAGAGCAGCGATGTCATTCATAGACATAGATTTTCTCATATTGTCGAATCCATGTTCGTAAAAGTAATCAAAGTTGTTGTGTTCACCAAAGTCGTCTTCAATAGGAGTTTCAGGTTCATCCTTGATGTGTAATTTCCCATTCGGAGTGAAATAGATTTCACCGCGAAAGTTCGTCACATTTTTAGCCATTATTTCCACAAAACTAAAGCTTCATGTAAAACAAAACAAATTATAGTATTTCTGTTCTTACGTTTCAGAATCGTTATTTTCAAATGCTTCAGACAGAAGCAAACTCAAATTCAAAGTTGACGTTTCGAGTATTGCCATGAAAAAAGTATAATTACCCAAAAATAATATTAAAGATAACTAAAATAATAAGGACAAAATTTAATATGTTGATTTAAAAATAATAGAAGCACTTATTAAAAAGTCACTAAATCACGTAATAAATACAAAAGTTAATTTTCGGTAAGATGGAGAAAAATAAACCTTAAATCCAACAACATTTAAGTACCTAATAAAAATTTTAAAGGTTAGAAATATTAGTATATTATTTGTCAATACTATATGCATTTTTTATAAAATTAACCATTTTTAAGTCTCAAACATCTAAGCGAAAAAAAGTCCACCAATAATTACTATTTTACTAATCTGGCAACAACCCGAATCGTTCTGAAATTCCACAGAATAAAGAAATTTTATAAATAGTAAAATAGTTTAAAATTATTTCTCACAATTTAAGTATCATCCCCTTTGGTAAATTATTTCAATAATGATTCAAATATTACATAACAGAAACTAGTAAAACAAACTAACAATTTGAGCTATATGAACATTAAGACTACATATTACTTGTTCACTCAAAACATATTTCCGAACGAAATTGCTGATGTCATTACGAGACGAGGAAGATAGCGTGCCCGTGTGTGTTTTTTTTACTGTTTACGCATTTGTGAGAAGAAAATTGCACAAATTACGAGCTTTAAAGTAATAATCAAAATAAAAACCTAAGTTTTCAAAATGACACAAACATCGCTGCCTAATCCTAACACATTGTTGCCTCTCGAATTAGTAGACAAATGTATTGGTTCTCGTATCCATATTATCATGAAAAACGATAAAGAAATGGTCGGCACATTACAAGGATTCGACGACTTCGTAAATATGTTACTGGACGACGTTACGGAATACGAGTCAACACCAGAAGGAAGAAAAATTACCAAATTAGACCAAATCTTATTGAATGGAAACAACATAGCAATGCTGGTGCCTGGTGGTGAAATGCCGGGCGATTCTTACGACGGATAGTGATTTTTGCAGTTTAGTTCTTAATAAAGTATTTATAAGTGAAACAAGAGTATTTTTTATTGTCTTCTCGTGACCAAATTTAACCTCTACAATGATTGATATCATACAACAAAAATCAATGGTAAAAGTTTTACAAATCAAATTAAATTCAATAATATTGACAAGAGATTACATTATAGAAAAAGAGTGACTTACCTGAGTCTGAACAGAAGGTCCATAGTCATTTGATGTGTCTACTATCTCCAGCTTGGTAGTAGACTGTGGTGGTCGGCTTACTTTATCATAGCAAGCATCACAGACTCGCACCTAACAATAATATGTTCAAATAAATTTAACTTGTGGAGAAATATCTAGTCTAATTAATACTAAAGGTGTTTTATTAGCTTCTTACATTTGCAATGTGTTAAAATATTAGTCCAAAAATGATAAACAGACCATTACTTTGAATACATTTCACTATCAGAAATGCAAAGACTACAGTATGGTCATACAAAGCTGCATTGTTATCGCTGTCAAACATAAATTATTATACTTTCCTTAATTAATTGAATACTACATTTACCTAATTAAATTTTTTGTCATTGTCATATATTGTGATTTCATACAAAACAAAAAGTTCTGTTTTTGACATTTCAATAAAAAATATTGAATTTAACAAGACTACTACTACTAGAACTAAAACTATTGTATTTAGCTTCTTGAAGTGAACATTGCTCATTATAAAAACATAAGAATTATATTAAGAGGTACAAAGGGCAGCCTCCCAGACAGCCTTAAGAATACCTCAAAACTTGACTACTTATAATTTGATTTGCATGCTAATTTTTAGATTAAAACATGTCTCATTATGCTTATGGTTTCTAGCGTTTGTCTAATATCTTACCTCTTTTTCAATTCCATACTTGGGCAGGGTTGATTGCTTGGCACTGCACTGTTGGCAGAAAACTTGGCCGCAAGCACGACAGTGATGCCGCCGTACCATCAACGAAAATGCCACACGACATCTGATAGATAAGTAGAAAAGCTCTATAGGTACTTGAAATTGAAACTACTAAATTATAAAAAAGTATGTTTAAAAATACATAGTATGATGATTATAATCAGGAAAATCAATATAAACAACAAGTAAAGGGAAACATCAATGAATGTATACTTTCCTTATTGTATGATTTTGTAGGATCTATAGCACAAAAATATAGTAATCATACCTGTGGCAAACTTCTCCATCTGCCCATTCTGGTGCAGTATCGGCAGAGAACATTGCATCAGATTCCTTTAGTGGAGGGAACTTGTAACATTCAGCCTTCAAAATGTTCACTGTGTCCTATGTATAAAAACCACAACATTAACTTCACTATGACTAAGCACAATCGCAATACCTAATAATTTATTGCCACTAGCTGCTACTGCTTTGTACTAACAAAAATTTTAACTTATTTCATTGTTCTATTTAACACTTTAAATTTAATTACACATGAAAAGAAACCTTAGCACAAAAGAGCATCACTACATTAAACTGTTTATGTTGTTTCATGAGATTATGAATCATACCGCGTCTGACTGATAACATGACGCGTCGTGTACAGGTACATATTATAATACGTAGGTAGATATATTACGGATATACTTGTATACACGTAGATAGAGGGCATGTGCGCCCGCAAGGAAACTGACTGTTAAGAACTCTTTGAATGGATAATTAGTAAATCAATACTTAATAGCCTACAGTTTTTTCCAATTTATTAATATCAGTACATTCAAAATTACTGTTTACATAAAAGTTTTCCATGTACATACAAATATAATTTCTGGGCATATCACTAGAGATAAAACACCTATCTCCATAGGACATTGACATGACCACTCAAAGTAAACAGAACAATTTATTTGAATATATTCCTGTGCACAGTATCTGATATATTTAATTTAATTAGCGCTTACATGGGTGTTAGTTACTCCCATTTATACATACTTGTAAGCTAGTTCACATTTAAACTTGAATCTAGGTATAACTAAATTGTTAGTGTGGTAATGACATGAAGGCATCACATAATTAAATTATAGGTGTGGTTTCAGATCAATATTTCAAAGAACTGTGTTGTTTAACCTTGGAATCAGTCATGAAAAAGTTCAGTGAATTGTGACAATAATGTTTAGTGACAATTCTAAAAACTCAAGACCTCTTATGTGCTTCTAATACCTTGATTCTTAGCACATCATGAAAATAATTTTCTGAAATACTAGACTTCTTATTAGTGATACTTTGTGCCATGTATTACTTAGACACCTTTTTATAATTACTTTTAGTACTGCAAGGCTTCTTTTACTGTCTATTGTTAAACCTACCTAACCTTAGGGTTATTTTCTTTTTATGTTTCTTTATATTAGTGTTACAGTGTTCTCATATAATCAAACCAACTAAATAATGTACCAAAGAATCTATATGTGACACTGATGTATAAAGAGTAATTGAGTTTCTTGCTTGTTCATCTCCATAGGAATCTAGACTTTAGAATGGGCAAATAGATTAACTAAGAGTACTGATTGACAGACTGACACTCTTTAAAATTTTGTTTGACATTCAAAAGTGCCTGAATGGGTCTAATTGAAATAAATGATTTTGACTTTGACTTTAATGAGTCAATTTGATCTACAAATTCATATGATTATTTTGTCATAGTTAAAACCCTCGTTCATTCTCTTGCTTACTGAGTAAGAACTTATGAATTTCAGTCATATTTCTATTTCATTTTGTTTGTTATTGTAAGATGCTCTTTATATTCTTACCTGAACAGATCTGTACTTTGGTGAGTTACGAAATGCGAAAGCCCAAGCTTGAATCAATTCAAGGATCTTGTTTCGAAGATTTTCATGCTGTGTGGTCTTCACGAGGTCACGAAGCATCTCACAGAATGCCTTAGATGTCACTTCATCATGGACTCCAGAGCCTAATGATAAGACAATGTGTAATAAGGTTTACATACTGTTTGCTGTTTTTTATTTTTATTTTATTTACTGTTTGCTGTTTTACAAATAGCAAACAGTATGTATGTTTCTAGCTTAGACCAAGTTACTGGGTAATCAATAATCAATATTTTCTACAATCTTTAAAGTATTTAAGCTATATAAATCCTTTCTAAATTCTTACATGAAAAATGTGGTATAAACAAAATACCAAATATGTATGTTTTATCTTTTTATACTGTATTATGTATTTTAAAAATTAGCTGATTTTCTTCCTTGGAAAAATTTTGCTTTTAAACATCAGTATTTTATACAGTAAATTATCTTCAGTATTTTTCTTCAGTTATTAATTACTTTATTGAAAAATGATGCAAGCTAACTTATTAGAACAGTTTACAGAACCCTTTATGTATTTTGCTGAACTCTACTATACATATGTATAAGAACTCTTAGTATAATGTATTTTATCTCAAGTAGAATATTATTGTTTGACCAAACTCTATATAAAATTAATAAAGAATTTAAAAAAAACCTGCACAATCTGCTTAAATGCTATTATTAAAAAATATATAGAAATAATATTATTTACTTATTAATTATAATATAAATACTTCAAATACCAAGACAACAATTCTAATAGAGACACTATAGAATATTCCAATGAGTATTTCAATATTTTTTTTACAAGAATAAGTAATTACTTACCACAATTTTTGACAATACTCTCAAGGACGAGCAATGCAAACATAGCTTGGTGGGGGTTAGAGGAGTATAGTTTCTTTTTGACTGCTGCCACTGCATATTTTGGTCTGTAACAAACATTAACAATTTCAGCTGACATATTTTCAAAATCTGACTATACTGACTGAATATGTTTTTCTGAACTTTGTGGTGTTCCTATTTAAAGTAGACAAGATGTCTCTTAAGTCTCTCTTTAGCTGGGAATTTGGCCAGTTATCTAAGAAATTCACTGTGGGTGGTGTACAATAAATATATTATACATTGTAAACACAACTTTAACAATATAGTACCAACATAACATCATCTCATCTACTAAAAACAACATCCATTAGTTTTTCATATTATAGTCAATCATGTCCATATAGTTAAAACCTAATTATCTTCCAAGTTGTGTACAAACAGTGTCAATAACTGATTGTTATTGAATGTTTATTGATGATGTATTTTTTTTTATAAAAACTTATAATAGTATACTTCTAATATTCTTCTTAGATTCTACTTGGCAATTGTATAATCATTCCAAAGTTTAACAACTTTCTATAAGAGCTTTAGGGGTCATTTTCTAGTGAACACTTAATGTTTTGCCCTCATAAATGTTTATATAAACTAATCACTATTGTACTTACGAACAATCATTTTGTCTAATCAAATCACATATTTGTAGGATAGTCGGCCAATCGGGATCCAGGCGTAGATTACTTGTAGCTTTATCTAGAACAAATTATTTCACCATTTTACAATGGTAATCATCTTAAGTATTTACAATGAGACATTCATTGTTTGCAACGGGACATCTAGTGAGTCACAACCGCAAATTACACCGTTAGAATTAGACAATTTTTGGAAAAAAATAAAGAAAGCCAAATGCTAATCAGAGAAAACTGCCTACAATTGTGACAACGAACATAATTTTTGTTGTAGAAGTAAGAACGCGATGGTATTTAACAAAACAAATTACATTTTAGTTACTTACCAAGCAACTTATCAAAATTATTAGCTCGAAACATCTTTTCGTACGAAACACAATATAATAAACTTTTGTTTTAGAAAATCAACAGTGATTGATAATGATTCGATGGACAGAAAAATGACAGCACACTTTTGTCATTTTTTATTTTTTATTTTGTATGTTGGCATGAGTGAACGTCATTAATACAGTGTTGTAACATCAAAATAGTTTATATTTATTAAACGTAGGTTGGTAACACTAATTTAAAGTCTGGTTCCGACGAATCGATTTTACGTTTTTTAAATTTATTATTTGATAGACTTTTAACCATAGACTTGTTAAGTTTTTAAGTTGTTGTAAGGTCTAATACTATTAGAAATTGACTCCATATTTAATTGTTTGTGTAATGTAAATTGTAACACGTAATTAATATGAATTAATAGACACAATTTGGGTGTTTTAAAAAAAAATTAATTGATGTATTTGTATAAAACTAATAATAAAAGTAAGTATGTCCGCAGGGCCCTTTGACGCTATTAAATTTGACGACCCCCTAGTCTACCATCATTCCGAATACTACAGCAATCTAGTGAAAAATCACAGCTTCTTATCTCAGGAACTTTCTTCCTTTATTGACTGTAGAAAACGATTACGAGCAATAGATTTCCCTCTTCTGGCTTGCCTTTGTTGGCCGTGTAGAGTGAAATCGCGAGAGCTGTGTTTCAGTGAAGTGTGAAGTTGTTCCAAATCGGAGAGCGGAGAGCAGTGATGCAGGTTGCCTGATTAATTACATTGCCTCGGCAGGTGCCATAGTTCCCTATATACTTACCTGTCCATAGCAACCCACACCTATAGCCTTATCTCCAGTTTCCATTATCCGCAATAATTGTATAAGTACTAACCAGGGACTCTCCTGGATACAAATCCATAGTGTATCCAAGGAAATAAAATATAGGAGACATAGGAGTTGGTAGTAGTTTGTGTTGTTATTTCATGTAGATGTACACAAGTTGCCTAAAGTGCCTCTGCACTGTTGGGTTCGGCCCCACGTAACGATCGGTCAAATGTCCGGGACTTTTTGGTCCTGTAATCGGCAAAAACATTTATAATTATTAATGTGTAATAACATTGGAGAGAGCACTGTCGAAAATTTGAGGTATGAGAAACAAGGTGGAAAGTCCTCATCCTCCATTGAAAAGGGAGGATCCTCCGATCAGGCGAGGTTTTCGTGCCTGGTGGGCTATTGCCCGACGGTTGTGGTCGGGATTTTTTTATAGGTGCTTATTAGCGCGTAAATTTCACTTGCGCGATGTAGAATCTTGCACGTGATTGGTGCTGTTGTTCTTGTTGTGCGATAGATGTCGCTACAAGGAACAAGTGATTCGCAAGAGTAGGTAGGAGGAGTTTTTTGAATTTTCACCGCGCTATCATATTTCAGGTCCATTGCAAACATTTTGATTTCATCTTTGCCTGTCTGTAGAAAGAGCAGTGATTTTTCGCATATTTGGCACACGAGTCATTAAGAGCTAACGGGGGTTCTTTTAAATTGTCATTGTTTGTCGACTTATTTCCTGTTAATAACTTTACAACACTTTTTTCCTAAATTATTTAATTTAAGACCAGTGCTGATAGATAATAGTAAGTGTGTGGTGCTGCATGTGTCCATGGGTGGCGCCGATAGCTTATCATCAGGTGAACCGTCTGCTCGTTTGCTCCTTATTCCATAAAAAAGGGTGTTTTTAAGAATAAAAATAACCTTCAATTTATTATTTTGAATGGTCTACCGTGTCCACCTATCTGTCGTGTGTCGTGTAGATAAAACTAAATGCACTTACTGTGGTCTATGATGATGCTGCCAAACGAGCCTAGAGAATAAGTCTTAAATACTTAGTTGTACCGGGTTCTTTTATACTAATATTATAAAGAAATTTGTTCGTTTATACATACGTAGGGGGTAATCTTTGGAAACGCTGATAGGATTTTAAAAACTCTATTACAGGTAGAAAGCTACATCGTTCGTAGGTGTTATAGGCTATTAAACACCACCGTACGACTAATAGGAGCCGAGCAGCGGTTGAAGCCTTGCGGCAGTTGGTATTTCAATAATAAGAAAGGATCCTTTTTTCGTGAGCCTTAAGCTTACCTAAAACCTGGGTTTTTTTGTCAGGGGAAAATCATCAAGTCACTTCTCCCGCCCAGGGTAAGGCGAGAGAGAGTCGCAGACTCTTATTGACTAAACCCCCTCCCCGTTCCTTCTCCTGCTCAGGACTGAGGCCACGGTGACTCATTGCGCTTAACCAATAACCTCGGCTGAACATCAGCTCTATAGAGCTCCATCTGTGGTGGTCTATTGGCTTAATACATGGGCATGAGGACTCGGGTGTAAAATGTAGCAACTTTCGTTTACATAAGGCACTCTTTAAATAATAAAGGCCAGTTGATATGTTATAATTTACTTGTAGGAAGAAAAGCTAGGAGACAAAACCACTTCTAAAATAAGCTTATCTAATATATGTATAAAATTCTCGTGTCACAATTTTCGTTGCCATACTCCTCCGAAACTACTTACGTGACTGATTTTGATGAAATTTTTTATGCTTATCCGGTATGTATGAGAATCGGCCAACATCTATTTTTCATCCCCCTAAATGTTAGGGGTAGTCCAACCCTAATTTTTATTTTTATTTTTTAGACAAAATTTTTAATTTCTGTTTTTTTATGATACAACTTACAAAAATACACAAAATGCTCAATTTTCACCCTTCTACGATCAACCCTTAATTTGTACTATTATTTTTCATGAAATCTGAAATTTTGTCTAAAATTGAATTCTATAAAAAGTCACATTTTAAATGGAATTAATGCCAACAATTTTTTATTTTTCCAACAAATTGTGAAGGAACGGGATATCCACTGGCACTGCTGGTATTGCTTAAAGAATTAAGTAAAATCCTAATTGAAAATAGAAAAACTAAAATCACACCACAAAAAAAAAAATTACGCCGCACACGACAATGGATATACCTACATACTTAGGTAATTTATTTAAATTTTTATGAACGCTCATTTGTCTAAAGGTAAGTAAAATAAATAATTAGCTAGAAGCATCGTTGACACTGTTTATTATAACAACCTTGAAGTGGGTTTGTGTCATGCGATTCTAAAATCTTATCACAGCGCTGACACACCTTAGGCACCAACCGTCTTCTAAGAACGGAGCAGATAAAACTTTTACCTACTTATTTTCCAACTTTACGTCAGTTTTGTTGTTTGTAAACAGATTTTAACACTACATTTGTTCTGGAGTTAAATGTAATTAATTCGGACGGAAAAACAGTGTTTGTGATAAGTGAACAAAAATTATAAAGCAATGACTGACTTCATATTACAATATTTAAAGGAACAATGTGAAACAAATGAAAAAATCCTTTTGAAAATCGATGCGAGCTTGCGGAACTGTAGAGCACAACTAATCGCATCAGAATTAATGGTAACAACCCTCGAGAGAGAAATTACTTCGATGAAGACAATGCATCAGGATCTAATGGAACTGAGAAAAATAGTAGTTCTATTAAACCCACATTTGAAAAACCAAGATAAAAATAGGTACAGTAAGGTCAACGAATACTATCTTTTAATTTCCTTAAATTATGTTCATAAAAATTATTAAGTTGTTTAGCTGAACACAGTGGTGTACTAATAGGATAAGTTTCATTAAACTTTGCATAATCGATCAGAAATCCATATTTTTCTTTCCTGTACTCGACCATTTCCAGAAATCGATGACCCCATAGAATTTCTTGGTTGGTGTAGCTTGACTTCGCTTGAACAGGCTGGCCAGTTGATTCTATAGTGCCTTCAAACACTACGAGGATTTCGATATCTGCTTTTATTATGTCAGAAGCGGACATTGAATAAAACGGGCTGTCCTCATCTATGGTGTGGACGGCACAGACAGGAAACATGAATGAGATATTCTCACTAGAATCCATGGACAGACACAACTTTATTTGGCTCTCCAACACATCGACAGGACTATGCCTGATTAGGTAAGCCTGGACGTTGCCAGCTAAGATCCTTGATTTCCTGGTATTCCCGATTCTGAATATTAAACGTAGATTGCGATCTCTTTGGTTGATAATGGCGTTCTTCGAAAATAAAAGCGTATGTGCTCGATTCTTTGGCCTTGTCAATTTAGCGAATACTATGCCAACAATGAAAGATTGTGTGATAGTACCGAGTATGCTCTCGATGCACATTGTCAACATAGCGGAAGGGCATTCCAATGTGATTGATCTGCTACCATACCCAATTGTTGTGTGGATTTCAATACTGAAAAGGAAGAGGGATGTGAAGCTATAGATTTCTCGAACACAAGGCTCCCAGGTGGAATTAGTGACATGTGGCAAGTGATCTGGTTCGAAGTCGCCGTGCATCTCTAAGATAATCCACCAAATACCCGTGAAGACCAGCCAAATGATGATGTATGTGAGGATGCTGTACACAATAGTCCATCGCCACTGAGCATCGATGACAGCTTGCACGATGTCAGGGAACACACGACATTTCGAGTTCTTCCATTTTTCTAAGTTAAATTGTCCTGTTTTAAAGACGACGCGTTCGGTTTTTCGCCTACCTGATTTTCTTTTTTGGGTAGCCCTGTAATGAGACAATAAAAGTTTTGTACACCGGGATATAAATGTAGCTTTTTTTTGTGAGGGGAAAATCATCAAATGAAGAAGTCAGCCCGCCCAGGGCCGGGCGGGAGGGAGTGTCAGACTCTTACTGACTAAAAACCCCACTGTTCCTTCTCCTGCTCTGGGCCAAGGTCACAGTGCCTCATTGCGCTTACCCCGCAACCCCAGCTGATATAAATGTAGCTGATGTACTTATCTGAAATACTTTTATTGTTTCACTGACCTGCACAGTCGATGTGTGTATTTGTTGGTTAACGACCCCTTTTCAACGTCATCTAGTTTACATAGTAGTTCCTTTTCAGGTAGATCCATTTTACTATTTTTATTTTTCAATAACAACTGTGAAATTGTATCATTATTATGATGTGATAACTCTCTGGTTGAACAGTAACTGATATAGCTAGTCTTCCGCATAAATATCTCTGCGTATATTTGTATAAAAAGATAAAACATGAGATTTTCTTATGATGGCATGTGAAACTTTACAAGTTTACAGTCTGTTAAATGAGATATGATTAAAATGTAAATAGTTATGTATCCAACAATATAAGATACGGTTAAATTGTGATTATGATGCATGTATATGTGTATGTTCTAAATAGGCGTTGGGTAGCAAAATTATATATTTTTATAGCAATTTTATTTTGCCTGTTATGATATTCCTAGTGGGTTAGGTTTTAAGATTTTTTTTAAATCAATTTTGGTACATAACGCGTTTGTATTTTTATAAGGGTAGGGTAGGTAGAGTCTTTACCTAGGTATGTTATAAGTCTCATGTAGCTAACAGTAGACCACCCAACATACTTATATCGGGCACAATTTAAGACTAACCGCTAATCCATATTACCGAGCAATAATCTTCCGATCTGGGACCATCTTATGCACCAATGATGCAAGACTTACTAACATAAATTAAAATCATGAGCCCAGTAACTATAAATATGTTTTTGTAAATTTTATTGTGTAACATTAAGAAAAATATCGCCCTTTTTTGAAAAGGGAGAAACATAAAACTACTTCACTCGCCTAGGGTACGGCGAGAGGGAGTGTCAGACTCTTACTAACTAAAAATTAAAAAAACAGGTCGAGGCCGCGGTACCTTATTGCGATTGACACACGGAAGGCAAATATCTCCTATGTGTTTTTCCGTTAATGATTTATCTAATTGGAACCAACACCATCTAGTGTTAGAAAGATAAATTAATTAAAAGTCAACTGTCTTAGTAAAAAGGAGCTTAAATACCTACATTACATGACTTATTTATTAATTTTTAATTATTTTTTAATTTTTATTTATTTATTTATTTACATAACTAACAACTATCATTACAGATAAAATCCAATTCGATAGTGTAGCCATCAGTGTTACAAAATACAAAAGTTAAAACTTATAATCTATTCATTAAATGTTTACTTATTTAAACAATCAAAAAGAATAAATAAGAACATCAAAAATACTATCTTGAATGTTTATGACTTGAATGTTTAGTGCAACACCATCTAGTGTTAGCAACATAAATTAATTAAAATTTAACTGTATCAGCAAGAATGAGGCTGAATCGGTATTCAGCCTTACTATTAACTTGAATGTTTATATTTAATAAAGGGAAATAGCTCACTTCAATAAAGGTAAAAGTCTCAATGGTATGGCATAGCATCCCGGTCGTTTTGTCACGGTCGGCAGGATGCAATGCTTAATCCGGATAAAGTGCTGCCATATACACAGCTGAAATAATTCTATAATTGTACTTTTTTGGAGAAAGGTACTACAATTAAGCTTTGGTAGATTAACAGCCTTAGAAATACTAAATAAAGTTGAATTTTAAAGGACCTATTGGTTTGGGGAGCAACAACGTTGGTGGTCGCAAATACACCTGAATTAATAAGACTGGTAAGTACTATTCTGTGGTTTTAAAATTAGTTACATTTTATTTATTATTGTTTAAACGGTAACTAATAGATATAGTATTAACTCACAGTGTGGAAGACTAATGTTGATAAAATAGACGTTCTTATAGGCCTTTTATTTTAGGTATTAATATGGGGGAATCATCAAATGTCTTCTGTCGAGCAGAGCGATATTTAGTGTCAGACTCTTACCTATTGGTTAAAAACCACCATATTTCTTATCTTACTCCGAGTCGCGACGCGGTTCATAACGTAACTCCTGCTGCACATTTGGACATGGCGGTAATCACCATCTATCAATCAGTCATACCATCAACGGATTATGCGTATACCCTTTTAGTGTGTAAGGTGGAAACAAGATTTAAAGTAGCCAGGGTCACAGTATCAGACTTGCTTTCGAGTACCGACGCGTTGCTGATCTATTGTTTTGATCGATTGAACTTAGTTAATGCAGAAATTATTTACAGTATTTTTTTTATGGATTAGGTCGGCAAACGAGCATACGGATTACCTAATGGTAAGTAATCAGCGCCGCCCATGGACACCCGCAACGGAATAATTACGAGTGCGTTGCCGACCTTTTAGGGATTAGGGTTTTGGAGATTTAGGGATTGGGAGGGATCGGGGGAGGGGAAGGATTGGGCCTACGGTAACCTCACTCACACGGCGAAACACAACGAGTTGTTTCACGTCGGTATTCTGTGAGGTACAAATAAGTTTATATTTAAGTATTCTTGTACTGTTGTGTGCGACTTTCTTCTAAGGTAGAATGAAGTTTTTAAACCTCTTATTGCAGTTGTTGTAGTTATCTCGTATATATGGCGTAGGCGCATCATGTCACTTCTATTTCCTTACATGTTGATTAAGAGTATTACGCATTGAAATAAAACGTTATCATGTTCTACAAGTATGACCTGAATTGAAACATTCAAAATTCCACCTTTAGGTAGTGACATCATAATACATTTTCACATGCTACTAAAATTGCACCGTCTATATTTAAGAAAACTAATAAGTTAAAAAATATCTCTATTTATCTTTAGACAAAATTCAAGTGGCCTTATACGCTGAAGTCATTCCTTCGAATTTCCTTTGTTTATGGTAGTACCAGCTTCCCCTGTTCTGCGTCTATTCACCCCTCGAATTGTATTAACCCCGTTTTACCGTTCTGCGGTCTCTCGCGCTGCTCGGATCCTATTATTAATAGGTGGTGTTTTATAGCCTATATCACTCAGGGACATTGTAGCAATCTGTCAGTGAAAGAGTTTTACTCTCTAAGAAATCCGACTACACACCTGTTCCAAAGATTGCCCCCTACATAAAAACTTACAAATTTTACCTACCTCTTTGTAAAATTAGTATAGTTAAAAAAATACGCCTTTAAAACACTCAAACCGAGGTCTGGCAACTCTGTAAAGGCGGAAAGAGCAGTGGCCATGACAAATGAAAGAGCAACGCGACACGTGGGGAACGTAATTCGATAATCGTCCTGCTCTTGAACGGGCGCGCTGCCGCTGTCAGCCATTCGTCATCGTCATGTTGGCTCCGACCTGCCGAGTGACGAGTGCCGAGGATGTTACTCGATTACCAACAGTAATCAACAATTACAGATTGTTTAGTTCGCACCTCTCATCCTAGAAACAAGGTTGAGGTTGTTGATGTACGAAATATATTATTGGCTTTATTTACGAGTATTTATTTATTTATTAAAAGAATTTTGGGTAACATGATTGGTTATGATGATTTGAAATACAAGTATGTTACACGAAATCGAACACCATAATCAAATTCATACGAGTATGATTTTGATTAATAAGCTTAGTGAGACTTTAAAGTGACTGGTCATATTTTGATATTTGTTTGTATTTATTGGTTATTTGTTAGACAGTTAGAACGATAAGATATAAAAAAATTTTTTTTTCGCGTAGTTGTTAAGCCCAACTTTGCAATAGAAGAGTTATAGAATACACTATACCAAATGTAATAATAATAATCGGTCAGTGATATTAAGCCGATAACGTTGTTTCAATCTAATTTACAAAACCAAGGATTTTTTATACATATAAGTATTCCCGTGCAGTATCATCTTTAGCTCGGCTTCTACTCGTATTGGTCAAAGCGTGATATTCTTTAAATTTAGATACTATCTTAAATACAAAGAACTGTTCAAGTCTAACCAGCAGTTCTAAAGATAACTGCGCCCGAACAAACAAACAAAGTATTCCAATGTAAAATATTCGATATTTAGATAGTTAAATTTATTAAAAAAACTTGACGTAATTATAGGCAAACTTTTGACCATTATATACTTAGTGATTAAATGCTTTGTCGCGGTTTATAAGTGTAAATATAGGTGTGATTATGTTTATATGTTCATTAACCTGTTGAACGACAATGTCAAAAGTTTGTGACCAAATAAATTTCGCTGTTGCGATACATAACATTACAAAAATGTTTGTTATTATCTAAAGTTTTATGGAAAAGGCGGAAAAATCGATCAACGTTGTCTATGGATATTAAAAAAATACCACAGGAGTTCGATCTTCGCCATTCTTTTAGAGCGCTCAGTTTAAGAAGGTTTTAATGCTCACTTAAAGATTGTGTTGCGATGTTGGAGAAGAATGCTTGGAGTATCGTCGACAGAGTTTCGCATGAACGTCTCGATACTTCAAGAACTCGGTAAGCAGCGTCTATTTCCACGGATACGTATCTATCGAGTAGGATAACCGATCCATATAGCGTTTTGTAGTCTAGGGCAGAGGGCACTCAACCGTCGATGGAGGTCACCCATGCGGTGGGTCTGCCAAATAAAGTCTGCAGTTGGCAGTTCACTGAACGAATGGAACAGGATGACCTCAACAAGGACAAATGACAAGACAACAAGGGACACCGAGAACCGTGGGTGACCTGCTCCTCCTCTACCGCTCCATAAAAACCACGATAAGTCCGTCAAGAATCAAGCGATTAAGAAGTTATGTGTTTTTGTTATTATGTCCATTTTGTAAAGTGTAATAAGTATTTCTTATTTCTTCAGCACATCCTGAGATTTATATACACAGAGACACACACATACACACACAATGCCATTCGAAATGAAGTGCTTACGTCTTTGTTAGTACATAAACTGTTAAATAAAAAAAAGTATAAATGTAATTTTGTATAGATAATCAATATACTCATGTTTATATAAATACTAATAATAGAAGGACAATCATAGGCTAGTGAACTACAAATATGTAGACATTATAACGATAAATACTATGAATCAAGTTAATCGATTAGATTACAGTTATAAAACGGCAAACGACTATTGTTTAAAGAAGGAACTTATCAGTTAACAAGCGTACTATTGACTGAAAAGTATTGATTAATAAATAATTTATTGCACTTATTTCAGGATTACGGAAAGTTGTACAACGTACGTACAATAAGTGCGTTGGCGACCTTTTGTGAAACACTACGTAGGTAAATATTATATATACTCCCGTCGACCAAATGTTCTTTAGATCGGTATTGTTCGTCGGACAACTCAGCAGCACTTGCTATGCTGGTTGCAAACTGACACTTGCGTGCCTGTCTTCAGAACGGGTCCACTTAAACTGGTGTGGTTCTTTCATCAAAAGACTACTACAGAATGAACTTGCACGGTTCTCTCGCATTATGTTATTTTTACATTGTCTGGACT